CACCTCCCCCATCCTCCCCGCACCTCTCCCCCCCAAACCACCCAGCCCAGTTTTTCTGTAATAGTGGGCCCTCCTAGGCAGCATAGTCTGCAACCGTGTCACTGCGACATTGGTCCCCCCTTGCTGCATTGGTGTCACTGTAATAATGGTCCCTCTAAGCATATCCTGCAGCAGTGTCCTTGCAATAATGGCCCCCCTTAGCATACACTGCAGCGGTGTCACTGTATTAATGGTCCCCCCTTGCTGCAGCTTTTTCTGTAATAGTGGGCCCTCCTAGGCAGCATAGTCTGCAACCGTGTCACTGCGACATTGGTCCCCCCTTGCTGCATTGGTGTCACTGTAATAATGGTCCCTCTAAGCATATCCTGCAGCAGTGTCCTTGCAATAATGGCCCCCCTTAGCATACACTGCAGCGGTGTCACTGTATTAATGGTCCCCCCTTGCTGCAGCGGTGGCACTGTAATAATGGTTCCCCTTTGAATATCCTGCAGCGGGTGTTGCTGCAATAATGGGCTCACAGTCTGGGTGTTGCAGCAACAGCAGTCCCTTAGCAAAGAGGACGTGTGTTAGTGGCTACCCCATGATGGTATCTGGGGCAGTGTAACGGTTGCAGGTGAATCTCGGGAGGGTTTTTGGGCCCACCCCGGGAGGGTTTTCGGGTCCACCCTCCCCCACTGATGCCCACTCAGCCTCACTTTTTCTCCTCCTTGCTTCCAGGGCATGTACAGCTGCTGCAACAGTGAGGACCCCCAGGCGAAGGACCATCAGCAGCTGCCCATCCTCAACCACAGCTACCCCCCACAGCGTGGGGGGCCCACAGCTTTGCCCAGCCCCCCTGCCCCACCCCTGCCCTGCAGCAGCTTCCTGCCCCGGGACCGGCGCACTGGGCGGCGCTGGGGCCCGCAGCCCCAACTGTTACAGGGCCCTGCACCCCCCGCCAGCCGCCTCAGAGCCCCTCAAAGCCCCGCCCCAGCGCCACGGCCTCCAGAACACCTTTGCCGACGGCTTCCATCGCTTCTACGGCCCCATCGAGCCGGAGGGACTGTCAGACCACCAAGAAGCTGGGACCGTGCCAGCTCTCCTCGCCCCCCCGGGGCCTGGAGAACCCCCCGTCCTACTTCGCCATTGTGCGGGAGAAGGAGGGCCCCGACCCAGGCCCCTCGGCCTGGCAGAGGAAGTCGCTGCGGGGACTGTACGAAAGTTTCCAGGCGAGCAAGGCCGGGAGCCGGACACCGGAGGCTAAGAAACACGGCGGCGTGGGGCTGGGTGGCGGCTTCGCCACCAAGGGCCCCTGCGAGGCTGAATGTGGGCGGGCGGCCCAGGAGCCGGGGCGCTACAGCTACAACCCGCCCTCTT